AGGACATCCTGCCGTACATGATGAACTTCAGCTTCCTCCGCAGCCTCAAGGCGTTCCGGGCGGTGCGGGCGGCGAGGACAGGGCACCCGATCGAAGCAGAGCGGGGCCGACGGCGCGGACATCCACGCGCCCAGTGGCCTGCCTAGGATGGCGCGTGAGCGCCCGCTTTTTCGGCGTCGTGCCGCGCCAGCGGCCCGCGCAAGCCGCCATGCTGTCGTGCGTGAGGCCCCTTTCCTTTCGTCGCTCCCTGGCCCAAGGTGGCCCCAGGATTTCCGAGGAGGCCACCCCGGGGCTCCAGAGTGGAGCGACGAGGCGGGGACACCTTGGTCCAGGGACACCTCTCTGAGACCCCAGGGCTAGCAGGGCCTGCCGCCGCGCATCGCGGACCTGAGAAGGGAGGTCTTCGAGCCTCTGGTCCGCATTTTCTCCTGCTGCGCCCTTCCCCTCCCCTTCCCCTCCCCTCCCCCTGCCCTCCCCTCCCCTCCCCATCCCCTTCCCCTTCCCTGCCCCGCTCCCAGTCCCCTCCCCTCCCCTCCTCTCCCCCTGCCCTCCTCCCCTCCCCTGCTCAGACATCCGACGTCGCATTTTCTCCACATCGTGGCTCCCCTGGGTGCTGGGCCAAAAATCCTGGAGGGGCGTCCCATCCCGAGTCGCTTCTGACTGCCCCGCTGCACCCCCCCAAAGAAAGCCCCCGGAGGCCGGAATCTGAAGAGCAGGTCCCCCTAGTGTTTTTGCATTCTCCCAGCAACTGAAGGATGCAACCTTGTCGCGCACACCAGAGCCCAACCCTTGCCTGAACGCCTCACCGTGGTCTGCCACCGCGCGCGTCCTTCCTTGCCACACTGCGAGGATGTCAGGACCGCCCGAGCAGCATCTCGACCGTCGGCGCCGGGCCCCACCCCTCGCGGTCAGAAGTCCACGGCGAGAGTTTTGTTCTGAACATTTTTTGGCATCCCGGGGGATCCTGCAGGGCCCCGGGGCCGCCAGGAGTTTCTCGCTATGAGCTGATCTCGAGAATCCGTCGAGAGCTCCAGGGGCCCACGAGGTGGAAAAAAAAGTCACGACGCCAGGGGCTCTGGGAGGAGAGCGCACACGGGCGGGCCCTTGCGAGGCGACCTGGGCGAAGCGACCCGGGCGAAGCAGCACCCGGGCCGAGTGGCACCCGGACGAGGCGACACCGGGTCGAAGCGATACACGCGCGAAGCGACATCCGGTCGCGAAAGCACCCAGGAGAAGGGAGACCTGGGCAAAGCGAGACACAGGTGAAGCGACGCCCGTGCGAAGTGACTCTGCAGTCAGGCCTGGTGCATGCAGTCGTCGGTCCCTACGAGGTCAACGGGAACCTATAGTGTCCTGCCCATCGCATGTCACGTCCTCGCCGCGTCTGGAGCACGGGGAGGCAGAGAGCTGCCCTTGGAAGGGGCTCGTGTCCTCTCGGCGGGCCGTCCTCTAGAGTCAGTCCCGACTGCATACCCTCACGACCAGCGGTGTGTCAGCAGCGTTGCTCTGAGTCTCCTGTAGGATGATCAAGTCGATAACCTTCGTCCGCGAGCTGAGGCTGATGGTCGCCTCGATCCTCTGCTCTATGTCCTCGCTCCTGTGGGCGTTCGTCCTCCTGACCTTCGTCGTCTACCTCTTCTCCCTCTTCCTGATGCAGACCCTGGAGGTCTCCTTGAGCACCCTTGGCCGAACGCCTGCTGAAGAAATGATGCAGATGTACGGTACGCTTTGGGATTCAATGTACACGCTCTTTTCCGCTATATCAGGAGGTAGGGACTGGCTCGATGTTATCAAGCCTTTCGACGAGATCTGGAAGGGATACCGTGCCATCTTCGTCCTCTACGTGATTTTCGTGTTCTTCGGCGTGCTGAACATATTCAGTTGTCTGCGGCAAACCCTGCCGTCGTGCCAGCGCAGCAGCTCAGCAATAAGGAGTATGAGTTTAAGACCCTCTTCAGCAGCGTGCCTTGTCATCGGCACGGATCCCAAAGATACCATCTCGTCGTCCTCAGGCCCGCTCTCTCATTCCTCCTCCTCCTCCTCCTCCTCCTCCTCCTGCTCCTCCTCCTCCTCCTCCTCCTCCTCCTCCTCCTCCTCCTCCTCATCCTACTCTCCTCCTCGTCTTCCTTCTCCTCCTCTTCCTCCTCCTCCTCCTTTATCTTGTCTCCTTTCCCTCATCCCCTCTCCCCTCCTTCCTCCCCCTCGAAGGCATCCTCTCAAGCCTCCGAGCCTCTTTCGGGGCCTCTTCGCGGCATCTCGCAGCCCACTCGGCGGCCACTCGGAGGCTTCAGTTGTGCGCCTCGTTGGGTGCCCCCGTTGGGCCGCCTCGGGGTCGCCGAGGGCGCGGTGCTTCTGCCAAGCGCCCTCCCGAGGAGGCCCGGCAGAGCCATCTCTCCTGGGCTGTCTCGGGCGGGTCCCGGGGCTATCTTGGACCCCTCTAAGGCCGCGTTGGGGGGAGGGCCCCGACCTGGGATCCGCCGTTTTTTGGTCGATTTGCCGACTCTTGAGCTTGTTGTGTCGGAGATGCACCCCGAAGGGTGCGCAAAAGTAAAATTAGGGCGGGAACTCCTTCCTCAGAATAGTGGGGGCCAGATACCTCCGCAAAGATGTGGCGAAAACAGCGACGGCGAAGTGGGGGGGAAGTCTCATCAGCGGAGCTCGAAGAGCATAGGGCGGACAGTTCCGCCTTCCTTCCGAGATCACCCAGAAAGTATTGCGGATCCAGAGTCCGGGAGGGGGGCACTGGGGCAGCCATGGATCGGGTGTCGCTAGAAGCGCCTTTGGCCCAGGGTGCCTCCAGGATTTCCAAGGAGGCCCCCACGGCCTCCAGAGTACCTTTTACAGTCGGCCCTGATTAGTAGGTCGACCCTCCCAAATCAAGAGTACCCTTGTGTCCGGTATCTTGCGACCCATGCCTCCTACGTTCCTATGGCAGTGTGGCCCTTGGAAGGGTCTTGTGCCCTCTCGCGCGTCCTGTCCAATCAAGTCCGACTGTATGAGGTTTATACGATTTCAGGGGCACCCCGGGCACCCTGAGGCCAGGGGCACCTTCCTAGCATTCCCCCGAATGTCAGGGGCGGCCTCGCAGACCCCTGGCAAGCCATCCCTGCCCGTGACGTGCCCTTCGCCTCGCCCCGGGGCGCACGTGTGCGGCAGGAAGGCAGCTTGCGAGGCGAGGGTGACTCCACAAGAGGGGGATGCTACAAGAATCGTCGAAATGACTTGGCGGCTCTCGTTCTCGGTGTTTGCGCGGTCGGCGTTGCTTCAATGCTGGCATGAGGTGTCTGGCCCACGCGCAGGGGTCGTCGTCGTCGTCGTGGTCGTCGTCGTCGTCGTCATCGTCGCCGTCGTCACCGTCCGTCGTCGTCGTCTGCTGCCGTCGTCGTCGTCGTCGTCGTCGTCGTCGTCGTCGTCGTCCGTCAACGTCGTCGTCGTCGTCCGTCGTCGTCCGTCGTTGTTGTCCCCGTCGTCCGTCGTCGTCGTCGTCGTCGCCGAAGTTGTCCGTCGCTGTCGACCTCGTCCGTCGTCCGTCGTCGTCGTCGTTGTCGTCCTCTGTCGTCGACCTCGTCCGTCGTCCGTCGTCGTCGTCGTTCGTCGTCGTCGTCGTCGTCGTCCGCCGTCGTCGTCGTCGTCGTTGTCCGCCGTCGTCGTCGTCGCCGCCGCCGTCGTCGTCCGTCGTGTTCGTCGTCGTCCGTCGTCGTCGTCGTTTCCGTCATCGCCGAAGTTGTCCGTCGTTGTCGACCTCGTCCGTCGTCCGTCATCGTCGTCGTCGTCGTCGTCGTTCACTGTCGTCGTCGTCTCCGTCGTCGTCGTCGTCGTCGTCGTCGTCGTCGTCGTCGTCGTCGTCGTCGTGCCGTCCAGCCTCCTCGCCATCGTTAGCTCCCCTCGCCCACCTGCCTCTCGGTGGTCTGACCTTGTCCGCGGTTCCACGCAAGGTGGTCAATTATCTTGGAACGAGGCATGTCATTGCTTGCCGCGTGACTGCACGTATCGCAGCGTCGGGGGAAAAGTTCGCGTGTGTTATATGAACAATGGTACGCAATTCACTTTGAGCAGGGGTCCCGCCGTAGTCTTACGTGATCCGTTGACTGCGTTCATCAGCGCACTGGAGGAATGCGTATGTGTGTGTGCGCGTGTGTGTATGTGTGTGCGCGCGTCGGTCGGGAGAACATGGTTTTAGAAAGAAGCACAACCAGACAACAAACAGCTTGCGCCCTACACCGTGCTGGCACGGTGGCGGCTTGACTGCTATCTTTGTTGAAAGCGCCAAACACATTGCAGAGGTCGACCGTGACATCGTCATCCAAGATCAGATATCGCGGGACAAGTCCACGATGAACGAGGTCAGGCGCATCTTTCAAAATGCAGACAGAGAAGGGACTGGAAGGCTACGCGCATCCCTTACTGCAATCCTCCCTGTATCCTCGTCCTCCTCCCTCTTCCTCGTCCTCCGCCTCCTCCTCCTCTTCCTCCTCCTCCTTCTCCTCCTCCTCCTCCTCCTCCTCCTCCCCCAAATCCTTCTTGTTTGGCCTTTGGAGTGGGAATGGAAGGCTACGCGCAGATGAGTTGGAGGCTGTGTTGATGGACGACAAGACCATGAAGCACCTGCGTGTGTTGGAACTCGACTTCGGGGAGGTGGAAGGGCTTTTCCAGCTGTTGGACATCGACGACCATAACGAGGTCGTCATCGGCCGTCGTCCCAGACATCATGCGGCTCGAAAACATGTTGTTTGTCGCAGTCGTTGGCCTCTGGACGCGGGTCTCGGGCACGGGGGGCCGCAACAGAACACAGCTCGAGGTGGACAACCAGCCTCGGGGAAGGCCCACAGGATCGAACACCTTCAGTCTGGAGGTCGCACCTCCACTCGGGAGGAACAGGAAGCCTCGAGGTGGGGAGACGACTTCAGAATTGAGGCAGAACCTCCATGTGAAGGTTTTTGATTGTCTTGTGGGGGGAGAGAGGTTCGGGGGTTCACGTGTCGAATAAATGAGAGGCCTAGATGTCTGGGGCGCTGCTGCTCTTCCTTCTCCTCCTCTTCCTCCTTCCCTATAATTGTTTCAGCTCTGTTTCGCCTTGTTTAGTGGTGGTGCGAATAGATTCACGGTGCTGGTTGCAGCGAATTTCCCCCAGCTTCCCTCATCAAAAGAATGATGAGGTTGTCATCGACGAGTTCGTCATCCAGCTCATGAGGCTCAAGGGTGGAGCAAGGGGACTCGACCTGCAGACAGTACTCTACGAGAACAAGCGCATCTTCTGCCGACTCTCGGCCATGATGAGGCCCCGTGGAGAAACACAATCTGGGGTGCGGGAACGCGCATGAGCGCAGACACTTCTCACGCCCACGAAGTGTGTCTCCGTCAGCGATGGCTCCTCTACGGTAGGTTCGTGTCGTGCCGACGCGGCAGCGACCCCGCCAGCGATCGCTCAAGGCTGAGCGACCCACGCGGTGTCGGAGACCAGCGGCGAGGTCGTCACGACACGAACTCGCCGCACCCGCACCCCTCCCCAGCGCGCGAAGAGAGGCCGGGACCGGAGCGAAGAGGCCCCGCCCGGGGATGCGGGGCGAAAGGGAGTCCAATGCCGGCGGAGGAGGCGTCGGCGGACGCCCGCAGTCTGTGCGTTTCTGGCTTGCTGGCATCGGGTCGGTGGCAGCGGGGGTCTTCTGACTAGCAGCCCTCCCGCCTTGCTGTCGGAGGCTGCCAGGAGGGTTCGTTGGACAAGGTCGGCCTCGCTGGGCCTCAGGCCCCCCCCCCCAGTCGGGGAAACGTAGGACTCGAGTAAGCCAGAACTCGAGTCTGCCGACGTTTTTTGACGAGCGCGTCTTGGATTTTGACCGTCCTGTTTTCGTGGGATGTTTGCAGCGGGAGCTCGCGTCAAATTTCAGATTGTGCCTCGTCATTTTTATGATGGCCCCGTCAGGCCAGCCCGAGCCCCCCGTACCCGAGTCCCCGAGTCTTACGTCTCCCCGACCCAGCCCGACCTGGGGCCCTCCACGGTGACCGGAGGCCTCTGAGCAGCCGTCGAACTCGCGAGCCTCCGAGGAAGCCCCCTGCCTTCTTAGGAGGCTGCCAGAAGGGTTCGTTAGACTCGGCTTCGCTGGACCTCGGGCCCCCCCCCCAGCCCGACCTGAGGCCCTCCAGAGCGACCAGAGGCCCCTGAGCAGCGGTCGAACTCACCCGTCTTGAGCCAGGCCTCGGGAGCCTCCGAAGAAGCCCCCCTGCCTTAGAAGGCCTCCCCCCGTCCCTTCTTGCTCATACCAATCGCTCTATCTCTCTGGGCCGTACTGTTTGAGCTGAGCCAAGCCTTGGCCGCGAGAACCCTCCAGGAGGCCCAAAACGAAGGCGCAACCTCAAAACCTTGGAGGTCGAACCTCCCGTAGGTTGAAACGAAAACACCCCATGGTGCGCGCCGCCAAGAGGTTCATGGAGAAGCACGTCGGGCTCATGGAGACGCGGCTCAACATACACACGGCCGAGGAGTTTTCCATGCGAGAGATATCCACGTGCTTGCGGCAAATTCCGCCACCGTGCCAAGGGATACGGGGCCTCAGGAGGGGGAGGCCTGCATGCGGAACACACCCACGCTGTGTAAGCACGGTGGCGGACTCATGGACGAAGAGGGGATGCAGAAGACCCTTGCTGTCGGCGCGACCGTCCCTGTTGCGTAGCGTACCTTGGGCTCAATGGGACTGGTTTTTCTAGGTTCGCGCCACGTTGACGCAGCAGCGACCCAAGTGGGGTTTTCACCCTCACTCTGCATCCGCCATACTGTGGGCGATTTCGCGAGTGCAGCAGAGCTTTCCACCCTACTTTTCACGCTCCTTTGATGTCGGGTTCCGCCCTACTTTGCCGTTCCTGTTTCCACCGTACTTGTTTACAAACACCCGCACTATCATTTCCGAGGCGGCAGTTTCTGCACTTTTTATCCAGCATCGTTCGGAGTGCATGTCCGACACAGGTTGAGGTCGGAGAATCGACCAGTACGGCGGATCTCGAGTCAGGGCAGGGGGCCTTGCTAGGTTGAACGCCGCCACCGCCACAGAATCGTTCGGCGCCCACGCCGCGAAGCGGCGAGGCGCGGTCGTCCTCAGGCCCCCCCTGCGCCAGTCGCCTGGACGATCAGAGGCCGTTACCGTAAGGTCTCGGCCGTTGGCACGGCGCAGGAGAGGGAAAAGTCGGCACCGCGCGTTGTTGTTGCTGCTGCTGCTGGCGCTGGCGGGTGTCCGACGGCGGAGGAGGAGGAGGAGGAGGAGGAGGAGGAGGAGGAGGAGGAGGAGGAGGAGGAGCAGGGGAGGAGGATGAGGAGGAGGGGGAGGAGGAGGAGCAGGAGGAGGAGGAAGAGGAGGAGGGGAGAAGGAAGAAGGAGAAGGAGGAAGAGAATGGAGCAGGAGGAGGAAGGGAGAAGAGGAGGGAAGGTGAGGGATGGGGGAGGAGGAGGAGGAGGAGAGGAGAGGGAGGAGGAGGAAGAGGAGGAGGAGGAGGAGGGGAAGAGAGGAAGAAGGAGGAGGTGGAGGAATAATAATGATCATTGTGTGCCACTGCGTTCTGATCTTGATTGTTTTGCTGATCGGTGATATGGCATCGAGACGCGACGATCCCCTGCTGATCTACGCGTGTAGAACGTGAAAAGGATGAGGAAGAGGAGGAGGAGGAGGAGGAGGAGGAGGAGGAGGAGGAGGAGGAGAGGATAATGGTTAGATGGAGGAGGCGAAGGGGACGGATGCTACTAATATGGTGGAGGTGGGGGAGGAAAGGAGGAGGAGGAGGAGGAGGAGGAGGAATAGGAGGAGGAGGGAGGGGGAGGAGGAGAAGGAGGAGGAGGGAAGGAGGAGGAGGAGGAGGAGGCCCTCGCACTCGCCCTCCCCCTGCCGCCCTAGTCGCCTTGGTGCCACCATCCACGGGCAGCAATCACACATGGTCAACACGAAAGGGGACATGATGATGATGATGATGATGAGATGATGACCATGCTGGTGATGCTGCTGCTGATGATGATGATGGTACAGATGATACAGATGATGATGATGATGTTGGTGATGATGATGATAACGATGCTGGTGATGATGATGCTGATGAGGATGATGATGGTGATGGTGACGATGATGGTGATGGTGGTGATGATGATGATGATGATGATGAGGATAAGGATGGTGGTGATGATGATGGTGGTGGTGGTGGCGATGCTGACGATGATGAGGATGATGATGAGGATGATGATGATGATGATGACGATGCTGGTGCTGGTGCTGGTGTTGGTGCTGCTGCTGATGATGATTATGATGATTCTGACGATGATGATGATGATGACGATGATGATGATGATGATGATGATGATGATGATGATGACGATGGTGATGGTGATGGCGATCACGATGATGATGATGATGGTGATGATGATGATGATGATGATGACGATACTGGTGACGATGACGATGATGCTGATGATGGTGAGGGTGATGATGATGATGTTGATGATGGTGATGGTGGTGGTGATGGTGATGCTGAGGATGATGAGGATGATGCGGATGATGAGGATGATGATGCTGATGCTGGTGCTGGTGCTGGTGCTGGTGCTGCTGCTGCTGCTGATGATGATGATGCTGATGATGATGGTGGCGATGACGATTATGATGATAATGATGATACTGATGATGATGATGATGATGATGATGATGATGACGATGTTGATGACGGTGATGATGATGATGATGATGATGATGGTCATGATGATGATGATGGTCGTGGTGGTGAGGATGATGATGAGGATGAGGATCATGATGATGGTGGTGGTGATGATGATGACGATGATGAGGATGATGATAATGAGGATGAGGATGATGATGATGATGATGATGATGATGGTGATGTTGATTATGGTGATGACGATGATGATGGTGATGATGATGATGATGATGATGATGCTAATGGGCCCATGTTGGGGTCAAGAAAAATACTGAAACAATTTGTGTGGTTCACGCGGTTTTCGCGATGACACGTGTCACCCGTGCGCGGTTTCACATTGTATGGACCCATGTTGGTGCCCAGAATACGAGGGAAGCAATTGGTTTATCTCAGACAGTTTTCGGGGTGGCACGTGTCACACGCATGTTGTTTCATGTTGTATGGCCCCATGTCTGCGTCCAGAATGCGAGTGAAACAATTGGTTTTTCTCACGCGGTTTTCGAGGTGACGCGTGTCACCCGTGTGGTGTTTCACATTGTAATGCTTCATGGTGGCGTCCAGAATGCGAGTGAAGCAATTGGTTTTGATCACGCGGTTTTCGAGGTGACACGTGTCACCCGCGTGTTGTTTCATTATGCATGACCCCATGGTGGAGTCAAGAATGCAAGTGAAACACTTGAGTTTTCTCACACGGTTTTCGGGATTGCAAGTGTCACCCGTGTGTTGCTCCACATTGTATGGCCCCATGTTGGCGCTCAAATGACGAGTGAAACGATTCGTTTTGCTCACGCGGCTTTCGGGGTGGCACGTGTCACCCGTGTGTTGTTTCACACTGTACGGCCCCATATTGGCGTCCAGAATACGAGTGAAACATTTGTTTTTCCTCACACGGTTTTTGGGGTGACACGTGTCCCCCGTGTCTTGGTTCACGTTGTATGGCCTCATGTCGTCGTTCAGGATACGAGTGAAACAATTGGTGTTTCTCACACGGTTACCGGGGCGACACGTGTCACTCGTGTGTTGTTCCACATTGTACGGCCCCATGTTGGCGCCCAGAATGCGAGTGAAACAATTGGTTTTTCTCAGACGGTTGTCGGGGTTGCACGTGTCACCCGTGTGTTGTTTCACATTGTATGGCCCCATGTCGGAGTCAAGAAAAAGACTGAAATAATTGTTTTGTCTCACGCGGTTTTCTGGGTGACACGTGTCGCCCGTGCTGTGTTTCACATTGTATGGCCCCATGCTGGCGCCCAGAATATGAGCGAAACAATTGGTTTTTCTCACACGGTTATCGGGGTGGCACGTGTCACTTTTGTGTTGTTTCACACTGTAGGGCCCCATGGTGGCGACCAGAATACGCGTGAAACAATGTGTTTTTTACACACGGTTTTCGGAGTGAATTCAAGCCCAATCCAGAATTTCGACATTCGTTTGAACCCCAGGCCCTAGCAGTGGCCGCAGTCCGAGTTTGTTTTTTGTTTTGTTGTTCGTTTGGTTTCGCGCGCGCCTCAAACGGGACCTCGCCCCTCGCCCTAGCTTCGGCCCTGTAGCCCTCGCTGCAGCCCTGATTAGTTATTCGTTTTGTTATTCGTTTGTTTTGATTTGCCCTCTCGTCGGGTTCAAGCCCCAGCCCTAACTTCGCCCTGGTCCCAGCCGTCGTTCCATATCTTCGTTTGTTTTCCGTTTTGTTTTTCGTTTTGTTTAGTGCATGCCCCAACCGGCACCTCCCACCCCCCGCCTTAGCCCAGCCCTCAGCCGTAGCCGCAGGCCGAGTTTGTTTTTCGTTTTGATTTGCTCACGCCGAACCCAGAAACGCGACATTCGCTGGACCCCCAGGCCCGAGTTCGCTTTTCGTTTGCTTTCGCCCGCGCCTCAAACCGGACCTCGCCCCTCGCCCTAGCCCCGGCTTTGTAGCCCTCGCCGCATCGTTGGTTCGTTTTTCGTGTTGTTGTTTCGTGTGTTTTGTTTTGCCGTTTTGTCTGGTCCAAGCCCCAGCCAGATTCTCGCCCTGGCCCCAGCCGTCGTCCCATGTATACGTTTCGTTGTTCGTTTTGTTTCCAGCGCGGTCTGCGAAGTTCGTTTCGTGTTTCGTTTTGTTTTCTCTAAGAGCGGTGGCCTCGTTTCGTTTTTAAACGTTCGTTGTGCAATAGTCGGGTTCGTTTTGTTGTTTGTTCTAGACGCGAACGCGTTTTAAACATCGTTGTGCTCGGGCTTTGTACGGATCATAATGTTGATGATGACGCCTGTGGTGTGAACGCTTCTGTTGATGCGGATTTTTATGGTGATGATGACCATCACGATAGTGAAGATGATGAGGATGGCGATGACGATTATGATGGTGATGCTGAAGACTGACGATGACGGTGCTGGTGATGATGTTGATGATGACGATGATGCTAATGATTGCTGCTAATGATGCTGTTGATAGTGATGATGGTGAGGGTGGTGATGATGGCGGTGATGATTATGATTTCGTTGAGGATGGCTAATTATGACGATGATGATGGTGACGCTAGTGATGGTGATGATGATCACGATGACGATGACGATGACGGTGACGATGCTGATGATGAGGATGATCATGATGGTGATGGTTACGATGATGTTGACGATGTTGATGATGATGTTAATGATGCTGATGTTGATGCCTGTGATTTTGATACAGATGGTGCTCGTGACGATGATGGTGGTGCTGATCATGATAAAGATGTTGCTGACGCTGATGGTGATGATGATAACGATGATGGTGATAAGGATGATGATGTTGTTGATGATGTTGCTGATGAGCCTGAGGATGCTGTTGATGATAACTTCGATGTTGACCTTTATGATAATAATGACGATGCTGATGGTGAGGATGATGATGATAATGGTGTTGATAAAGATGATGCTGACTATTACTGTTGTGGTGATGATGATGCGAATGTTGCTGATGATGCTGTGTATGCTGCTGGATTTGGTACGGATGATGTTGCTGATGATGACGACGGTGATGATCAGGATGGCGATAACGATGACGA